AGCACCTTATGTGACCAATGACAAACTCCTTCAGTTCAACCTTACAGTTAGACCTTCCCCCATTTTATAAAGAAGCCGAGCATCTGAGAATCAAAGCAACCTGCTTCTATGCAGTTAATATTTAGCAACACTGAGAGATCTGAGCTTCCTTTTAACTCTAAATCAGTACAGTGGAAAAGAGAATCTTTCACCAATAAAACCCAGAGTTTGACTGAGCCTATCTACCAAACAAGATCATTGCAAGGATTAAACTACAGCTTCAAAACAAACCATAGTTACTTCATTAACCTGAAATTGACCTACATGGGAACTTATTTTCAAATGTGGAATTTATTTACTTCAGACAAAAATCTAAACTTCTGAATTAATGTCTATAAATGAACACATAGTAAACTGAGGAGGTAGAGAGAATGTACAACCCATTGCTCACTAATAGATCTAGAAGCAATCCAAACTCGATAATGTCAAGGCTTTCACAGAACAGTCCAGTCCATCGCGCTAGTCACATATCTCATTATTGACTTAGATACCATATTCAAATTTGTGTCAAAGCTAATAGTCTTAAAAAATACTCTATACTTGAAATACTTGGTAGCTAGACATAATTATTATTTAATCTACTGAAATTTGATCTCCAGGGTCCAAAGAAAATTTATTTTGAATGTGAAGACTAAACTTGTTTCCAGATGTTGAAAAATGATTGCTCTCTCCTCTGAAACACTACACTACTCTACTTTTACCTCCCTAAGGTAAAAGAGTATTTATTGTACTCTGTCTAATAATTTTGAAGTGTAGGGGAAAAAAGCTTTATTTCTGCAAGCAGAGCATAAGCCCATTAAAAGTGAGAATAAGAAAATTAATATTTACTTCATATCTATGAAGACTCAATTGCTTTTCTAGTGACTGTTTTTCATGTAAACATTGTGAAACTCTATGAAATAAGACTTTTTTATTTATTTATTTTCTAGCTTAGGGCATTTACAGTCATAAGACTAGAAACAGAACCTAGATTTGAATCCTGGTCTTTCTAAATCCAAAGCCTAGGCTTTTTTCCCCCTCCTAAACTGCCCCCAAACCATGGGTTAATCTTACTGCTTTATCTAACTGTTTCCCACTAACCTACCAACCATCAGAGAAAAACCTTTTGTCACTATATATGGGCAGAAAGGATTCAATACAGGGGATCTGCCCTTACTTTCAGGACTCAAAAAAGACTCTTTGGTGCAAATAGTAATTGATGTGAGTCCTGAATAAAAATGAAGAGACCAGAACCCTGCCTGTAAGAAGGAAAAGGTACAGAACCATTACTTATCCACTCCTGGCGGAGACTCCTCCTTTGAGGTTTGTGCCATCTGGCCACAACACTTTCTGCATCACTGCTTTGTGGGTCATCTACAACTCAATGAATCCTTTATCTTCACTGCACCTGGGTCACAATTTCCCTCTTTTCCTCATCCCATCTTCCTAAATCACTCTGCTATCCACACATGATGCAGTCAATATATACTAGACTCACAGCTCCTTGTCACACTCCACTTCACTGACCTTCACTTCTGTTGTATTTTAGTACACACACACACACACACACACACACACACACACACACACACACCCCTAGTTGTCACCTAGAACAGCTCCATACTCCATATCAGACAACTATTATTAATAATAGTAAATCAATATTTCACTTTCTGACCACAATCTCTTTTCTTCTACATTATATTGGCCCCCTGCTCTAATTCAAGAAATTGCTAAATCTAAATAAATAAAATTAAATTTAAAAATCCTCATCTTCAAATGTTTCCTGTTTCAGTTAATGATTCCACTAATCATTCCCTCATAGACATAGATCTCACAGGTTTTCAAATTTCTTTTCATCTCTGACTATTTTTAATGTCTCTTCAACTATGTCTAGTTTTTTTTTCCCTGTAATCCTTTCAGTGATTAAAAAATATCACCTACTAAATTGGCAGTCTCAAAATGCTGTGGTTTTTGTGTGGGTCACTCCTCTTCTCACACTTCTCCTTTACTTATGCATATTCTGTTCTTTGGCCCCTTATCACTGAGCCTAAGCTCCTCCCTCCCCAAAGCCTCTTTCGTCTCTCCTGGCTGGTCCAAGAGCCCTCACTTTCAGGCAGCCAGAGCATTCTGTGCATAGTTCTTAACTTTTATTGCGGTAACCTATGTAAGCTCCACATCGACCCAGCTCCACAATGAGTAGAAATGTCTCTTATCTCTGTAGCCAGCTGTGCACCATACATAACACAATGCCTGATACATGGCCGTCTATACATAGAAAAGTTTAATACAAGTTTAAATTGTATTGTAACGGTCACACCAGTGTTTTCTGAGTTTTGAATCCTTACACTGGAGGTTCAGACTTCTCTGTCTATGCAGTTCTGTACAGAATGGTGCTACACAATTTTTTTTCCCAATTTACACAAAAGTGAAACAGCATTTGTACGAACATGCCAGAAATTAACATCTGATACATGCATGGGGCTGGAGAAATGGCTCAGTGGTTAAAGTCATGTAACTCTCTTCCAGAGGACCCAAACTCAGCTCTTAGCACCCACCCGTCAGTCAGCTTACACCTGCCCACAACTCCAGCTGTAGAGTGCTTTGATTCCTCTGGCCTCCATGGGCAACTGCACTCAAGTGCGCGCGCGTGCGCGCACACACACAATTAAAAATAAATCTTTTAAAAAACTTTTGACATCTGTGCTACAAATTTTAAAACCACTAACCAATTCAAGAAACGAAGACGTAAGAACAAAGATAAAGACAGTTCTGACTGCTGGTACTACTTGCCTTGGTTATAAAAACAGTGAAACTTTGCTTCGAACTTGAATAAAGTCCTAGACACAAGAGCTTAGTATTTTTATCTACAAGGCCATGACTTCTCTGATGGGCTTAAGAAATTACTCATTTGCAGGGCTGCTTAGACAAGGGTTTAAGAAACTGATAAAAGATTCTTTTTAAGTACTTTAACCCTATGTACCACCAAGGCTAAATTACTTAAAAAAAAAAAAAACTTTTTTTTAAAAAAAAGGAAGGCTTTAAAATGAGCAACAAAAAGTGTTGTTTTTCACAGCAAGTTGAGGCCTTCTGTTGGCAGAAAAAAAGCACACAGTTCATTGTAATAAGGCAGTTCTCTCTCCAAGCAAATATTAAATTGCAGTTTGGCACCAGACTAGGTCTCAGTCCTTTTTAGAGCAAAAATAATAAGGTCTCTTATTTGCATGATATATTACATTGTAAAATCATTTGATATACATTAGCTCACTTGATGAAGTGTTCGCAGACTTTTTTTTTTTAAAGGAAGAGAAACCACAAAACAGGATGAGAATCTCTTTTAGCTTGGGTGAACACATGCTACTAGACAGCTTTCCCTCACCGCCCCCCCCCCCAACCCCCTTAAGTTCAACACAGCAGAGAAATGAGGAAGGGAGAGTACGTTCTACTTAAGAAGGTCAGTCCTTGAGGGTCAAAAAGCTTCCTTCAGAAATGATCGAGTTTGTTCTCTCTGCGCACAATAAGCTCTTCTATGAGGGCGATATGGGCAAACTAGAGCTCATCAAAGGAGCAGATCAAAGACCACAGGAAGGGAAACGACTAAAAGAACTGGGAGTTAGCCAAAACAAGACTCACGGGACACGATTACTATCGTCACTCTGAACAGCTGCCCAGAGGGGAAAAGAAGCCGAAAGACGGGAGGCAGCCGTTTCTTTCCACCTATAACTAAGTCCATCCAGGACCAGGCTAAGTTACCTGGGAACCGTATTAGCACCGAGAGCCGCCCTAATAGGTTCGCCAAATGAGTGAGGTATTGTTTGGGATTTTTAAAGATGCTTCCGTTCGGAACAGGCTGAGAGTGGCAGACCCTGGATGACCCTCAGTCCTCTTCGCGTCTGGGATGATAAGGGGTTCACCCATCTGTTCGGGAACCCCTTCTCCTGCTGTGCTCCCCGCCGGTCCGAGGTTCGAAACCTGCTGTAGCCGCGGGTGCTGGCCAGGCTCCCGGCACAGGCAGGTGGCACACACGGAGTTCTCCCAGCCCCGGGACGCTGGCAGACAGCACCAAGCCCTCTGCGCCCTCGACCCTCGGTCCCCCCACCCGCCGCTGCCGCCGCCGGGACCCGGGCGATTCTCTCCCGCGACGCGTCTCTCCCCCCAAGCCCTCCACAGCCTCCGCACCGGGCCCGAGCCAGGCTTCCCCGGTTCCGCCCCAGCCCCGCTGTGCCCTCGGAAGGGGCCCTGTGCCAGCACTCGCGCGCCGCGCCCCCAGCCGACCCCGGC